GTAGCGTCCTTGCTCCTAGTAGCGAGGCCCTTTGCTACTAGTAGCTTTTTGTCACTAGTCATGCATGCCTAAAGAAGACAACGTCTATTTTCGTCCCGTTTCTTCGAGTCGGATCCATTCTCGTCGGACCACGCGCAGGTCACTAAACGCATCGACACCAAATCGGTGGATAGTTTGGACCCGAGCACCTGGAACCCAACTGCATGCGTCGAGATCAACTTTTTGTGTGAGTGTGTTTCTTTTCGACTTAGTCACAAAATGCCGCAAACATCTAAGCGTTTGAAAAGGCTTGAGGCGTTTTGAACAACTTTCAATGCCACACTGAGTTGGAGCCAAAGAAGGTGCCTACGTTACTGGCATGTGCGCCGGCGAGGGTCGACGACAGACAAGACAAGAACCGAAGAGGAGGAACCGAAGGTCTGATAAGACCCATAGCGTAACAATTTATTTATTTGTGACAGATATATTGTGAAGACTTAGTAGGCACATATGAGCGACGGACAAAATTATTGGCTGACTTATTTAGTCATGGCATGACCCTAAACCTATGTTGAGGGCTTTGTTTCTGTGGAAAACGATATGGTCCCCACCAAAAACGATAGTCTTGTTAAGATGTAGTGGGTACAAAGATGTTTGTGGTTACCAGATGCGATTGCATTTGCAAGTTTATTTGAGCATATTTGAGCTAAACCGATGGGCACCTCTTTTCATCAATGATAATCCCAGACAACTTCCCAAACGATAATCCAAACGATAAGCGAACGATAACCTAAATGTCACGCCAGGCACTCCGTAGACCTACTTCTCCACATTACTAGTGTTGGTCCGAGCGCATAAATCAAGTGCTGTGCCATTCCTGTGCAGAAAGCACTGTAAGCCTCTAATCTGAGGTTGTGAGTCATATTTTGTGTTTTAGCCTATGTGCTGGTATGCTATGCTAACTACGGTTTGGAGAAACATTGGAGAACGATATGGACCCCACCAAAAACGATAATCATGTCAAATGGTATTGCGCTACACAAGTAATTTTGTCCGCTGCTCATATGGGCGAGCGAACACTTTTGCTGCGATAGCACAGGTTCAAAGAGCATCTGTTTCGGTCCGGGTAGGTAAGTCAAAGACCTAAGGCCTTTTCAAAAAAAACACATAAATCATGTTGTCATCGTTGTTTTTGCAGTTATATGTGCTTTTGAAAAGGAAGGCTATAAATTAATCAAGCAAGAAAGAAGGGAAGGAAGACAGAGAAACAAAGAGCAAAAGAACAACATGAAAGAACGACAAGAAGAACGGGCATGGAGCAAGGATGGAATGAAGGCAGCGGCAGGAAGCAAAAAACAATGAACGAACGAAAGAGAAAGACGGGAACGAAAGAGGATCCAGTGATCCAATCGTCTAAAGAAAAAGAGAGCAAACAGCATGTTTATTTTTTGAAATCAATATTTTTTCCAGCGCAAAGCAAGTTTCAATAACAGTTTTTAGAGAAGAAACAACAAGACACCATTACATATTTTCATGTTGTTTTGCCATTCTCATTTCCTTCTCAGACGTCGGGTCACTTATATGTACAGCAGCATGCAGCATATACGTCGTATCATATAAATGTATATTTCACTGCTTTGTTCAAGCCTGACAGACGTAAAAGGATCAGGAAAAGATCGTCTTGTCTTGTTAGCTGAACTTCAACCTGGACCTGTGCGTATAGTGGTCTCAGTACCGCTCAAGTTCAAGGGCCAAACAATTCCGTTCATGGTAGTGGAGCTGTGGAACAAGGACCCAGATCCTTCACCTCAGATTGATTACTATAGGCGGTCTGTTTCACCCCTGGCTCCAGAGATCCGAGCAAACCAACATCGCTCGGTAACAAGAAACAGTGGCAGGACATGACAAGCTCCAGCGGATGGATTTGCGCAGCACTTCATGCAAATGGTGCAAGCTTTGGGTACGTGACAAGACCACCTTCAGCCAATGGCTGCAGCGTTCAGACTCACCAAACACCAATCCCCAAGAACATCGAGGCGAGCGGCGGCTAGCATCGGTGTTCGAGGTCGTTCAGAGCTCGAAGGCGTTGCGCAGCCTGGCAATCTCAGCGGACAGACAAGAACATGGCGTGGGATTCCTGGTAGGTGGATACATTCAAATTGTGGAGGAGGTCGGAGTTGAGAGATCACTGAAACTTCAGGATCGATCTCACTATGTGTGAAGGTGAAGACCTTGTGTCAAGAACCCACTTGGCTCTCACCTATAGGGAAGGCTCATGCAGGCAAAGGCAGCCAGAACATTGCATCCTGTGAGACTGCCCGGAGAAAACGCGAGGAGACCAGACAAGAATCGCAAGCTGAAGAGATTTTACGTGACCAAGAACGATTTGGAGAAGTATGGACCATGCATGGATTCACGACGCGTTGCCCAGCATGCGCTGCCACACACAGGCACAGACACATTCAGGCACAGGCATTCAGCTCACGAGGGCTACAATCGACATAAAAGGAACTCAGGAAGAGTTGCAAGACAGGCAGTGAAGGAGAGGCTGTCACCAGTTTGCCTCGGCCTCGACCAGTTGGAGGCAAAAGAACACAGATCATGTATTTTTGAGCCCAGTAGGCGCCAGGTGCTATAATAAGTCATGAAAGCAAATGGCCACCAGGTGTTACTTGCAGAGTTTTTGCTCCTGCAGGCATCAGCGCAAGATGTATGCGCTCGAGCAAACTCCCATCCGGTTTCGCTGCCAACGCTGACTTGGAAGCTAAGCTCGAGAGGCGTGCTCAAATGACGTGTCACTTACGTTACATCGTTACATGTGCAGCGCATATGTCATAATTATAAATGTATGTTTCACTGCGGCCCTTTTCCAGCTTTGGTTCAAGCTTGACAGACATACTTACAAGGATCTGCAGGAAAAAGATCGCCCTGCTGAACTTCAAACTTCGGGCATAATGTCGACCTCCTAATAATAAGCCCCCCCCTCCCCCCTTGATCAAGTGTGGGCCCCAAATAATGTGAGGTCCAGAAAAATCATAGAAAATCTTGATTTGAATTGGAAATGAAAGGAAAAGAAATGAGATTGAATGAAAGGAGATTGAAGGTAGTCGTAGTCGTAGGAGTAGTACCTCTAAGACCAGATTAGACTATTTTCTAACTATTAGTCTATTTCAATAATTCCAACTAATAGTTAGAATTCAAATAGACTAATAGTATAAACTAGGGGATAATTTAAAGTCTATTTTGTTGAATAGACTCAAGTCTATTTTGCTAAACAACCTTGGAATGTCAAGATTATGTTGGAAAAACCTGAGATCTTGTAAAGACATTTTGTTAGTTCATTTTAGGTGTTTGTGGTCACACTTTTGAAAAACACAAACTTGAGCAATGTGTGTGGCCCAAGTAACATTGAGCAGAGCCTAAGTAACATGGCCTAGGTAACCGTACATGGCCTAAGTAACATGCAAACTTTCTTTCAAACTCACATCACAAAGTATTTTTGGTGTCAAGTGTTGTGGAAGGCTCACAAGCTTCCAGAGGATCAGCAAGACTGACAAAAGGGTAGATGTTGTAGTTTCATGAAGAAACAAGTTTTGTCTATGTTTGTCCTAACTAGCATCGCACACATCTCCTTTCTTTGCTTTGAGCACCTGTAGCACACATGGCCGTCTCTAAGGGAATGAAGGTGGACCCTTCCAGTGGTGTGATGGACCTGCAAAGAGTGCTGCCAAAGGAAATGAACAGAGGAGCTGACAAAGATCTGTTTTCTTGTTTGAAGCATCCTACCAATGCTCAGTGGAGTTGGAAGACAAGTTCTTGTCCTCAATGGATGGCTCAATGTCATGAAATGTTGGTGTATTTCTTGAAGATTGCACCAAATGGGCTACTATAGGTCAGCCAAAGTTAAGCTAGCGCTACAGAGGATGATCCAAGACTGTTCAAAAATGGTCAACAAAACACACTTCCATACAGCTGACTTTGTGGACCAGGTAGATCAAAGGATTCGTGTTTTGCTTGCACAAGCCAGAGGCATCAAGAAGAACCATGAAGCTTGCGCAACAGCAATGAGGAAGGCCACCTTCGATTCCAAAGAGAAGGTTGACACCATTTTGGAACACCTGCAGTTGGACGGAGCTGATGACAGTACT